TAAAAGAAAACAACTTTTTTAATCCTGGGGGAAGGGAATCAGTAGCGTTTTTATATATCTTAATAATGAGTAGATTATACAATTTGCTTCCATAATTCTTTTATCCCAAGCTGAGTTCCTGAGATAATGGTAATGTGATATTGCTAATAATGTTGCTAAAGGATTGAAATCGAACGAGTGTTCTCTGTATTCTGTCCTCTAACTCAAGGGTTACCACAGTTTCAGGATCAATTCACTAGTATAAATAAGGTACCTGTGTGTTCATAGTTTTAGCTGCCTTACTGGTGTCACATACATACATAATTAATAATGCGTGAGAATCTATTGCGCATTCAACTTCCACTCTTTTAAAGAAACTCTGAAGTATAGATTAAAGATTAGTAAAAAAAAAATTAGTTGTACCTCTGATCAAGGACTACAGTGAGTTCTTCCACTCTTATCTCAAGCTTCTTTCTCTTCCAGAAATTGAAAACCCCAATGTCTACAGAGGCCAGACTGGTGGGAATGAAGCAGGCAGCCACTGCAGTGAATTGGAAAGCCAAGTCCTTTGTGGAGGAGCAGCCACTGCTCTGTTTCAGATAATTGTTTCAAAGCAAGAATGTTGGCCTAGTGTTGCCACATTATCGAGTTTCTCAGGTAAAGCCTGCTTTTTCATGTGATATCTGTTGACTTAAATATTGTCAATTAACCCTCCTACATTATTATTTTTAAACCATGTACAAGCCAAACACTTTTGTAAGTGGAATTGGCCATAATTCCTCCTGTTCATACCTCATATGATGCTTTTCTTTATTAGAGACTTTATTTTCTGAAGGATTTGCATTTGTTTTCATACATCCTCTAAAGTACTCTATGTCTCATTTTGTGGTATTAAAGTTCCCTACCTCTCTACTTCGAGGAGTTCACACATAAATTTTCATTGGTTGCTACATTTTCTCTGCCGTTCTCAACATTCCATTGAGCAATCAGTCAGTGGTGTGCTAAATAGAGTCTCCAAAAGATACATATGATTATCACTCAACATCTGGGGTATTATTGCTCCCTCATTTATTTTCTAATGTGTGAGCTCCATAAACACAATAAAAAGTCACTTATCTTGTGGTATACAGAACACTCTTCCTCTTGTTTCTGCAGAGACATTCTGAGATGTTTCATTCAGATGTTTTATTAGACCACAACTCTCCTCTAAGTTTAATTGTGTTTGCTGGAGATTGATTGGATTTAAGTGATCCTAGATATTTATATGATTTCAGACACAACGTCTTTGGTGGAGTTTCTCAGTAACTAAGTAGTCTCATTTTTGCTTTAATAGAACCAAGACTTACTGCCACTGTGGCTCAAGTGGTAGAGCGCTCCACCTTGAGCTGAAGAGCTCAGGGACAGTACCCAGGTCCAGAGTTCAAGCCCCAGGACTGACAATAAATAAATAAATAAAGAGAACCAAGACTTGCTCACAGTGGCTTAAAGACTTAAATGAAAATATAGAAGAAAATGAAAATGAAAATAAAAATATAGAAGACTAGAGGAAAACATAGGGGACAAATGGTCAGGAAAGGTTGTAGGATTTTTTGTTATTTTTTTTAATAAAACCTCAAAAGCATAGGAAAGAAAAGCAAAAATGGAAAGGTAGGATCACATTAGAATGAGAAGTTATTCTACAGCAAAGGAAACAGTCAACAGAGTTAGAGGCAGCTACAGAATGAGAGAAAATACTTGCAAACTCAACATCAGTTAGGGGTTAATATAAAGTAAAAAAGCTCACAACTCAAAAGGAAATAAAATAACCTATCTTAAAAATGATCAAAATCTTCAAAAGACTTTTTCAGAAAAAACACACATACACATATATACCTATGTATATGTATATATGTATAGGTATAATCACATATACATATATACACACATGTGTATATATTATGATTAGTGATCAGCCACTAATCAAGAAGATATAATTCAAAACCACAGTGAACTATTGCTTTACCCTAATAAAAGTGTCTGTTATCATGAAGAGAAAATTTAATAAGTGCTGGTATAGATGTACAGAAAACAGAACCTTGAACACTTGCTGGGAATGTAAACTAGTATAGCTATTAAAAACTAGAATAAAATTGCCATATGTCCAGAAATCCCACTTCTAGGTATATATCATAAGGAAATGAATAATATATTGAAGAAACATTTGCACTTCCATACATTTTGGAACACTATTCACAGCGCTAAGAAATGACATCAACCTAAGTATCAACATATAGAATACAGATAATGTGTTATACAGTAGCTCACCTTATTCACCATTTTATTACATGCAGTTTTGACCAAGCTTGGTCAGTAACGAAATAAAAATAAAAAATTCATGTTAAGTGAAGTAAATCAGCCCCAGAGAAACAAAGGATCCGTGTTTTATCTTATTTGTGGAAGGTAGATTTAGCTTATGAACTTATTTTAAAAACAGTGGGTAGGGCAAGGAATGTGCCTTAGTGGTAGAGTGCTTGCCTAGCATGCATGAGGCCCTGAGCTCAATTCCTTGGTACCACATAAACATAAAAAAATACTGGATGGTATATAGTAGATTCAAGGAACACAAATAAGGTAATTCCTTAGAAAGGCAAGGTCAAAGTTAAGCAAAACAAAATACCACGAAGTAGGTACTCTAAAAGGGTAGGGTTGGGTCAAGGGAAAAAAGATGGACAAATGAAGAGAAAAGTGGGAGAATGCACTCAAAAATCCAATGTTAATTCTACAAAATTAAAAGCCATGGGTTCAATTCCTCCGTACCACATAAACAGAAAGAGCCGGAAGAGGCACTGTGGCTTAAGTGGTAGATTGCTAGCCTTCAGTGAAAGAAGCTCAGGGACAGTGCTTAGGCCCTGAGGATGGGCAGAGACAGAGACAGCCAGAGAAAGAGAAAGAAGAGAAACCCTAATTTTCAAGATTTCTAGGTAACAGATTAATTTGTCTTTATTTGGTACTGATTACTCCAAATGGTTACTTTCATTCATTGCTAAATTAATTCCAGAGTGGTAAACATTTTTGTAGAAAATAGTATGCTATGCATATTAGTTATTTTGGAATATTGCAAATATAAGCATAAAATTCACAATTATCTTAGTGCAATTTAGGGAGAAAAGCAATATTGATTTACTTCATTTTTCCACATTGATTTGACCTGCATACATTAAGCTGCATCTTACATAGCCTAAATACTAGTAATATAAAGACAAAAGATGAAAAGCACCCCCTTAAACTTGCTTACTTTACTTTTAATAGTTTATGCAAATACAGGCAAGCATTTTTAATCAATATTCCCCAAAAGAGAAATTTCATGCCATGGGAAAACAAAGATAACAAACTGTGCTGAAATACTTGGAATTATTTCAATTAAACATATAAGTTTTACATTGGAATTATAGTGAGCTTATTATTTTATTGACATTCTAGGAAAACCTATTACTTTTTTGGGGGGCCAGTTGTGGGGCTTGAACTCTCGGCCTGGGCACTGTCCCTCAGCTCTTCATCACAATGCTAGCACTCTACCACTTGAGCCACCGCATCACTTCCAGTTTTCTGGTGGTTAATTGGACATAAGAGTCTCACAGACTTCCCTTGCCCAGGCTGGCTTTGAACTGGGATCCTCAGATCTTAGCCTCCTGAGTAGCTAAGGTTACAGGCATGAGCCCAGCAAACCTATTATTTTTTAAAATAATTCTCTAAATTGTTTTTGAGCTATATATTTGAGACTGGACATTGACTATTGACTTTCTCACTTTTAAGAAAGAAGACATTTTTTGGGCTGGGAAGGTGACTCAGTGGTAGAGCACTTGCCTTGCATGCCTAAGGCCCTGGGTTCGATTCCTCAGCACCACATAAGCAAAAAAAAAAAAAAGCCAGAAGTGGCGCTGTGGCTCAAGTGGTAGAGCGCTAGCCTTGAGCTGAAGAGCTGAGGGACAGTGCCCAGGCCCAGAGTTCAGGCCCCACGACCGGACCCCCAAAAAAAAAAAAAAAGGAAGAAGACATTTTTTTAACCTATAAACAAAGACTCTCCTTTCACATCCTTCTGTTTTTAAAGTTACAGAGGGAAATTTTAATTTGAAATTCTGTGTCTCAACTGTTTTTGTTTTTTTATAGTCACATAGAAGGGAAAGGGAAATGGGAAAGCTCGACCATGTTTTGTAACTCATGTGAAAGAAAAGAACTAAATACTAGAGTGGGAAGATGAGAGAAAAAGTGGCATTTAAAATAAAACTAATAGGGACTAGTTTAATAAAGTAAAAGAAGCTAGGCATTCCAAGTAGAAAAGTAAGAGTGACACCAGAGGTATTTTAGAAACAATCAACGGAATAGCCTTAATTTTTCGTAATAATATTTAGATCATCTACATTGATAGTTTGCAACGCTCTATATCATTTTCTGTAGTTGGCCAAACCAAGAGAAATAATAACAGTACTAAGCACCAAGTTTATAATCATTTCCAATAAAAAGCTCCCCTAGTTCTTTTAAGGGTTTGGAGATTACTCATTAGCTGTTATATAAATATAACATTTAAGTTTTTAGAAAAATATTCTTCCTATAGAAGTATAACACTTTTTCTGTAAAGAAATTTGAAAATACAAGAAAGCAATCAAAAAAATATCTTCCTACTTACCAAAGTACATAGAGATGTAACTGGGAGGATAGTGCTATTCTATTCCTATATTGAATAAATAGTGGGGGGGGGCGGGGGGCAGTTGTCTTTATACAAGATTCCTACAGAACAACATCCAGGCTCCAGATACAGCTGCCAAGGAGATCTTGTTATGCTGGTGGGACTGGCCATCACATGGCAGGGGTTCTAGCTTTCCAACCTTCTGTTCTGAGATGGGAGTGCTTTGAAGGATCTCATCTTTGGCTCTACAATGTTCCTGTGGCAAGGGCTTCTTAGGGCCAGTCTTAACCACTTGGTCCCAGGACAGCATGATCTTTACTGTGATGTCCAGCCAGAACTCCCTGTCTGAGTGGTACATAAAAATATGAAATGCTTCAGAGATTTGCATGTCATCCTTGTCCAGGGCCCATCCTAAGCTTCTCCATATCATTTCAATTTTCATATATATGCTGCCAAAATGAGAATAAATAGTAGCATTTCTAAAAGCCAAGCTTATCATTATTATGTTAAGAATATTTTTTCACCTAACAATGTCATGGTTCTTCCTAGGTGCTATTAAATATTCTATAATGTGATTTGAACAGTTATTGATAACCAGCCATTTGGAACTATAGCTAGACAATTAAATATTACCTTATTTTTTTCTAGAACAATACTATTGTAGAAATTGTTGCATAATCTCTATTTTAATGAGGAAAAAGTTTTAAATTTTTCTGGGTTCACAAGATGATAAAGGGTAGGGCAAAATCCAGACAGTCCAACTCTAGAGCTTACACTCAACCAGTAATACTACATAGCTTCCCAGTACTGTAATTAGACTTCATTTTTATTTCCAATACAGTCTTGGGCTGTCATAATAATTTTGATTCGGTGTGTGGCATCTTAGCCTGGACTCATCTGCCTGCTCATCCCAATTCTCCATTGTGCTTGCTTTCATTGGATAGCTGGACTTCCCTTTGTTCAAAGGAGCTTTTTGGGTATGAATGGCAATGACATTTCAGTAAATAAGGTTGGAACACGCAAGGGCTCTTGAGATTTAGGATCAAAACTTGAGTTGTATAACATCTATTATATTCCATTGGCCAAAATGGATTACAAATCCAGCTAAAATTCAAAATGAGAATCATAAATCCCGCCTCCTAATGAAAAGAACTGCAAGATTTTTGAGGCCATTTTTAACATTTAGTTCTCTGAAGGCTTCTATGTTATTAGATATTTATCTTTGTGAGCATAGATGGTGCACAAGCCTTTATCTTGAGTCTGAGGTCTGGCCTCACTCTTGGGAGCCTGTATGTTCAGAGTTTGAGAAAATATAGACTTCATGCGAATATATCCTCAATCATACATTGTGAACTTCTGCACTTTTTTACTGGACTGAAAGGGCAAGAACATGTGGAACTAGAGAACTTCAGTTACCAAAGGAGAAAGGATGTGCTTATTAAAGGTATGTTTTGGAAGAGGTTACTACCTAGTGATGATACACATTAAGTGAAAATAAAAGCCAGAGTAAAAATGGGCAAGATAAGTATGCTCATAATAAAAATGGATGACTTGAATAAATAGGTGGAGGATGAAACAGATATGGGAAGATTGAATAGGGAAATGGCTAGATAGAATGAAAGAGATACATGAATATCTGATATAAGAAGAAAAGATAATTAAAGGGAACATGTCATTTTACAGTTAATCTAACAAGCATAACTTAACAATAGCAGAAAGGTATTAGAGAATATGAGGTATTCACTCTTAGTGTAAAACTGAAAGGACTTTTTGTTTATCTTCAAAACTTTAATAAACAAAGTTTATAATTGCATTATGTAAGTTTTTTGCAGTTTATAATATTCATGCTTTAAGCTCCATTTTCATCATGATAAATAATCACTAGATGGCAATTCTATTCCTGTGTGTATCTGTGTCCACTGAACACAAGATCAATATGCATTTTAATAGAATATACTCATAATATTACCCCCAATTGTCCTACTGTTAAACAAGTACATTTGACTTGATTCAGATCTTATGACTGATTTTCAGAAAATTTATGAAGCATAGCTATTTATTAATTTTGTTATAATTTTGATATTTAGTCTTCATGATGTTTGAGATATAATTTTAAAATATATAAAGTAGTGAGTTTTTTCATTGGTTGACAAGATTGTCAGTAAAACAGATTAAGAAAAAGGTCTATTTATTAATTAGCAATCTGTTGAAATATGTTTAATTTTTGTGTTTTTGCATTTATTTTAGTGATTCCTTTATTAATTTATTTTATATAACCACTTAATAAGTAAAGCTGATAGTTTAGCTGAAACTTAAAATTAGCATAGGATATTTCATAGAAGCCCTATCATAATTTTTCTATAGTATACAATTTCTGAAAATGAATAAGCACTTAGTATATTCCAGGATTATACTAGAATTGAGAATATATACAGAAAAGGTCCCTGTTCTGAGAGGATCTACATTCCTATGGGGAAAGGTAGTCAATAAATAAACCAGTAAGTAATAATAGAAATAACCAGAAAATAGGAAGTATTAGTGAATTAACAAGTGTGAGAAGGTACCTTAGATTTACATGATAGTTTTCTTGAGACATTAAATTAACTTTTAATGGCAATGAGAAGGCACTGCAAAAAAGAAAATCAAGTCATTAAAATTCAATTCACCAAAAGCCAATTTTCAGAAACTAGTTAGTATATTGAAAAGCATCAGGGAAGATAAAAATATTGGTAGAATTGTGAGACATAACTCTCTCAGAAAACGTGCAAAAACATACACACTTTTTGACTATTATTGTGACTGTTACAGAACTGTTTATGAAGTAAACACAAATTAAGTCCAAAGCATAAGGTCTACCCTAAGACCCGAGAAGTAGTGAGGTAGAGGTAGCTTTCATGTCATAATATCTTTTATACTCTAACCTGTTTTTGTTGGGCTTTAATGAAACTAAATGAACAAGCAGGTCTCAGGGGAGAAGGGAAGATGTTGTGGAATATGTGGAATATGGTTTTAAGGCAGAGTAATTTTAAAATTTTGAATTTGGAAAACAGAAGAAATTGTTCAGTTTTTATTATAAAAACTATAAAAATAAAACCTAACTGCTACTTTGATGATTAGCCTATTTAAGAGAAGTTAGCTATCAGGATCTTAGAAGCAAATAGAACAAACTTTAATGTTAAGCTAAAGAGAGCCTGGGTTTCAAAAGTTAGAGAAAAAACATGGCCTATATTGCATTCCCAAAATTAGCCTCTGGAACTTTAAGGAATGGAAAATATATCTGGAGCCCTAAAATCCCAAATTCTCTTTTTGAAAATAATTCTGAGTGAATGAAGACAGGCATAGATTTGTGTACAGGGCTTCCTCTCAAATTTATTTGTAATTATGAAAGCTTGTCATAAAACTTAATTCCCATAAAATAAATAAAAATAAATAAGTTTAAATGTCTATCAAATAGCCGGGCACTGGTGGCTCATGCCTGTAATCCTAGCTACTCAGGAGGCTGAGATCTGAGGATCCAGGTTCAAAGCCAGCCCAGGAAGGAAAGTCCCTGAGACTCTTATCTCCAATTAACTACTAGAAAACCAGAAGTGGCTCTGTGGCTCAAGTGGTAGAGTGCTCTCCTTGAGCTGAAGAGCTCAGGAACAGTGCTCAGGGCCAGAGTTCAAGCCCCACAACTGACAAAAAAAAAAAAAAAATCTATCAAATAACTCATCCAACATTAAAAAGTCATGTTTTGGGAACATATCTAATGTCACTAGAAACAGCCCCAAAACAAAAAGTTATAAATAGTTGTCAAATATTTTATGGATCACTATCAAATATTGACAAAGAAAAAATACACATTTTATGTATATAAGATATTAGGAATCAGTATGACTCATTTGAAGAGCAATTTCACATGCCTGTACTGTTAAAAATGTGCAACCTCTACAACCCAAAATCAATATCCTCAATATGCCAATACATAAAAAGTGGTAGAGGAATATATTAGAATACCATTCAGATGTTTAAAATTAATGGAATGGCCTATTTATCTGCAAGAGACATATCTATGTATTTATATAGATATGTTGATATAGTTACATCTCAACAGAAACATCCTTTAAGGAACTGCTGACTCTTTGAAAAGTAACTTGCAAACGGTCATGCTTTCCCTCATATGTGGAAGCTAGAACTAAAAGATATACATATACATCTCCATAATATGTGTGTACCTTATACACACACCTACGTAAACATATTTGTAATTGATTTGTAGGACCGTTTCAAGAGATTAGGTGTATCAGGAAGAAGAAAAGAGAATAATAGTGGGAAAATAATATCCGGCTACATTAGCTCTACAAATGAAGATGGTATATGAAAACTCACTGAAAGCCACTGAGTAATAGGGTGGGAGGGAATGGGAAAGAGAAATAAAGGGGTTAATCCGCTCAGTATACAATATTAAAATACAATGTACAATACATGTGTGGGTCTTCTGAAAAATTAGCATCGACTTTTTTAAATGAGTGCTAGGAATAACAGGTCATGTTAAGGGGAAGGTTTAAGTAAGAGAGGAAAGGATGAACAGAGAAGGTGAAAAAAGGTGAATAAGTTTGAAGTAGTTTATGTATGTGTATGAAAATAAAGCAATGAAACCTGTCAAAATTGTTTTAAGATAGGACGGAGGATAAGAAAGAATGATGGAGGGTGAGTTTGATCAGTGTACATTACAAGCATGCATAGGAATGTTACAATGAAACTCCCTTTGTACAACTAATATATATATGCTAGTAAAAAATGTTTTTGGAAGAGTGGAAAAAGTAAGTTGTAGAATTACATAAATTTTTTAAACACATAACCATTCAATATAAAACTAAAATAAAAACATAGCCTGGAAGAATACCAGAATCCTGATGATAGTTACATCTCGCGCAGAAGGGAGGGGAATGGCTCTGAAAAGAAAATGTTTCTCAGTCTTATAAAAGTATTTAATTTAGAGCCAGGCACTAGTGGCTCATACCTGTAATCTTAGCTACTCAGGAGGCTGAGATCTGAGGATCAGGTTTGAAGCCAGCCCAGGCAGTGAAGTCTGTGAGACTCTTATTTCCACTAAACTACTCAAAAGAGCCAGACGTGAGTGGCACTGTGGCTAAAGTGGTTAGATCATTAGCACTGAGCACAAAGAGGCTCAGGGACAGTGCCCCAGGCCCTGAGTTCAAGCTCCAGGACCAGCAAAAAGAAAAACCTGAGAGACTGGGAAGGTGGCTCAGTGGTACAGTAATTGCCTTGCATGCCCTGGGTTCGATTCCTCAGCACCACATAAGCAGAAAAAGCCAGAAATGGCACTGTGGCTCAAGTGGTAGAGCACTAACCTTGAGCTGAAGAGCTAAGAGTTCAGGCCCCACAACAGACAGAAGAAAAAAAAAGCAAGCCTGTAGATGCTTGCATTTTAAGTTTACAGTGGTGATACATCATTGTTGATT